GCAAAATTTAAATCGGACCAATCAGTGTCCGCTATTCATGACAGTCCGCCATATTTTTAAGATCAGTGAGGATGACCACCCATCGTTGGTCACCCACGCCCGCGATATTTGATGAACTTTAGACTCCGCTAATGCTTTCGTTTCCCAGGGTGTAAATAGCCGTGGGGAATTAGTACCCTCGCACGGCGCTTCGCGCCGTCGGCTCGGGGATAAACAAGTTATTTTTCGTTGAAAGACTAAAAAGACTGCTCAATACTATAAAGAGTACAGTTTAGAGCTATGTAATTAAAGGTATAAATATCTTAAGATAACAATTTTTTTTACGCTACTCTGAGTTTCACGATATTGTTTGATCGATCTTCAGGCGATGTATCTAATACTAAAACTAGTATAATTTGAAAGTAGAGTTATCAAAATGTAGAAAAAAACCAATATCTGCTGAATAAATCCTAAAAGTGCGTAGTTTGAACATTACAAAGTGTTAAACACCTGAATTTTTAAAACTGTATCGGGCCACCTTAGACATAAATGTTTTAAAGAAATTACCGTAAACGACAGTTTTTAAGCTTAAAAGCCTGATTCCTGGGCTTAGCCTTTCTCACGCCGCTATTCTTGTTTGGTTTTCAGCCGAAGTCTGCAAGATAAGTCCATATAACAACGATTTTTTATAATTTTTTTTGACGAATGATGGTAAATTTGCTGTGTAATGTCTGCTCTTAAATCCGTCTGACCGCGTAGCTCAGTTGGTAGAGCGTCGATCTAGTAATTCGAAGGTCGCGGGTTCAAGACCCAGCCGCGGCAGACTTTGTCTTTCTGCTTACGCTGGGCATGGATTCTGCAGTGCAGCTTGGTACACGTCTAGATACGCGATGCATTCGTATTTATATCCCATGAACTTGCTCTCACCAGGGCATGTGGTAAAAACCGACTACATCAACGTATCCAGACATGCGTAGAGTGTAATGGGGCCATATATTTAATTATTTATGAAATAAAGTACAAAACAAACGTTGTTACTCAGAGTTTCATGCCTGAGTTTACAGACAATCTTCGGACAACTAAAGCACGGAATAAGGTACACAGAAGGCCGACTTTTTGGTTTGTCCTATGATTTTCCTATGATTTTGGCGTAACCCGTAATTCGTCATCAAATGTTGACGCTATGGTCTTAGCCAGTGCCCGTTTGAGAGGCATTCATCCTCCTGATAATGTTCAAAATGGCGGGCGTCCAAGGGGGAATACCTCTTAAACGCGCACTGGCTAGGATCATGGCGTTAGCATTTTGATGATGAATCATTGCGTGGCAACGGTTACTCGAGTCGACCTTTTGTGTGCCTTATTCTGTGACTAAAGTTCTATTAACTAAATTTTTCCGTAAGTGGCACATCTTGTGGTACGAAACTAATAGTAATAAAGATGCCTAGTGGAAATCGTTGCACTTATTTTGTAGTAGAGCTATATATATTTAATTATTTATGAAATAAAGTACAAAACAAACGTGTTACTCAGAGTTTCACGCCTGAGTTTATAGACAATCTTTGGACAACTAAAGTAAATTAAATTTAACCGTCTGGTTTTGTTTTCTTGCGCGTGTATTCTTGCTCGTTCTTAAGTCGTGTATGATGGCGCTCGTTGTTCGATTCCACGCGAATGTATAATCCAGCCAGAAATGAATTGTTTTCGATGGACGCAATTCGAGAATATTTCGCTTCTTTTGTTGAGCAGCGAGTCCTTTTAAAATTTAATGATGTAAAGTTTTTCGTCGCTACACAAATTGCACTGATTACGTCCCGATCTGTACGCACACGAATGTTTCAAGATGGTTACTTAATTTTGTATGGGCGATTGCTTTTCTTCAAACTTCGTATGTACTTCGACAATTCAGTGTCATTAGCATACGTATCGATGTTGAACGATTTTTGGTGGTTCCTAAAACGCTCCTTGAAAGTTGTAGCCGTAATTCCAATATAATGCCTTGTTTCTCCGTTGTCCTCTGCTGCGATCTTTGCATGGTAGACAATGCCTTTGGTTAAGCATTTCTTGTCGAGAGTACACGTATTCTTATCTCTGCAGTGGCATGTTTTGTTGGCGGGTGGTGTTGTTTTTAATGGTGGTGCTGGCGTTAACGTTGCTGATGGGGAGGTTATGGTGCTGGTGATGGCGCTTGTGAAAGGATCTTATTGTTATGACTGGATATCACGGATTTCACGTTTTTTATGCAACTATAGCTCACTTTGATGGTATTCCTGTTGAAAATTTTGTTGAGGGCAGATGACTTAGGAAAGTGAATATCTACGAGGTGTAGAAAATCTTTACCAATGTTGAATCTCACGTTTTTACTGCAGGGCGGATTGAACCAGGCGATATTCCTTTTTCGGTTTCTTTTTGGTGTGTTACGGGTGTCATGGTTTAGATAGTGTAACTTGCTTTGGTAGTTGCTGTGATAGAGGGTTTGTTCGTATAGAGGCGCCGATGAGCCAAATGCTGTTTGTCGAAGAGAGTCGGGAGATTCGTATATTAATTGACACAGGTATTTGTTTGATAATCGGGGGAGGGTTGTTAGAGTGGCTGTTGATATAGAGTGGTTGGTTGTTCGGTGTCCTATAGGGTTTGTAACTACCGTCAGCTAAGTTGAGCGTAATGTCTAGGAAATCAACAGTTTGGTGACTGACCTCTGCCGTGAACTTTAAATCGAATTGCTCAAATAAATGGTGTAATTTCTTTCTTGTCTGATGAACTAGATGACCATGCACGAGTCCCCTTCAGTAATATACAGGCCGACACGATCTTTCCCAAACGTTATCGATAGTTCATTTAAGATGAATAAACTATCATATCTACTAAGTTCGGTGGAGTTCCTTTTCTCGTACAAAGTAAATGACGTTTTTTGGTTGTAGTATCTAGTTTTAAAAGAATTTTCAGTAAGACCAACGTATGTTTGAGATGGACTATTGTCGTTGGTAGAAACTGTAGCTTGATATACAATGGACTTTTGGTACAATCCACCATTTAGTAAAAATGTATCAACTAATATTGGACAAAAAAATTTGAATATCATCGATGATGAATTCCCCGCAGGCCACCTCTTACGCAAAATATTCAACCGCAACACTGTTAAAATAAGCTAGAGTTGCATGCCCAATATCAAACAAACCTTCGACGGACACAACAAGACCAAACTTCGCAAACTGCGACAACGAACGAAGAAAGCACATGCAACTGTAGAAAGAAAGAGGAGTGCCCAATGTCCAAAAAATGTTTGGTCCAGTCTATTGTATATCAAGCTACAGTTTCTACCAACGACAATAGTTCACAATAGTTCACCTCAAACATACGTTGATCTTACTGAAATCTCTTTTAAAACTAGATACTACAACCACAAAACGTCATTTACTTTGTACGAGAAAAGGAACTGCACAGAACTTAGTAAATATGAAAACAGAAGCATACGTCCCAAATCCGATGAAGGAAAGCGTCCCCAAATCCGATGCAATTCCACCAGAGGAGCAACAACACGCAGGTTCCCTTGGATATCCCTATGATATCATGGCCAACCTACCCTTGCATACAACCTCTGATGAATACTCCAATATACCCACCTCGTTTACGATGGTGAACACGATACCAACCCGAATTTACACCCCCTCTAGTATACCGTATAACTGTATATCAACCCCCATTCCTCCATCAACTTTAAGGCAGGAAGTCAATCCTCTAAGAAATACAGTAACTAATCATAGAGCAATAAGAAAGGTCCCTTATCGTAAATCATACAACATACCAACTGTTCTATCAGCAAATGTTAGGGGAATCGCAGAGAAAGTTGACGAGATTCAACAAGTTGCTGAACTTAATAATGTCAATACAATATGTATAACTGAGACATGATTGTCTCCAAATGTGCCAGATTCCTCTGTCGTTATCCCAGGATACAATCTATTTCGGAAAGACCCGTGTGAATACAACAGGAGGAGTGTCCATTTATTTAAATAATACAATTCCCTGTAAGAGGCTAGAGCAATGTAACGAAGAAGGAGTTGAATCTGTATGTATTTCAATGAGACCCTATTGTTTACCAAGGAATATAACATCCATAATACTGTCAGTAATATACCTTGCGACTTCTAATCGCGAATCTGAGAATATTACTCTCCGAAAACATAGTCAACGTAACCTTGACAACCTATTAGCTAATCAGCCAAATGCGCTTGTAATACTTACCAGCGACTTTAATCCAACGTCAACCGGATTGAAATCGAAAGATTTGACTCAAACAAATCATCTCACACAACTTGTCAGTTTTAAGACAAGGGATTCTGGTATCCTGGATTGGTTCCTGACAAATCGGACTAGGTTATTTGAATTGTCTCAGTTACCTAAAATTGCATCCTCCGATCATTTCACAATACTGGCGAAACCACTTCTAGGACCTAAGAAGAACAAAGTAACTAAAAAAAATATTTCTCGTGATATGAGGGAGAGTGCCTGGCGTGAGTTTGGTCAATGGATAACCCAGAAAGATTGAAACCCAGTCCTTAGTATTTCCTCCTGTGAAGATAAGTTCCAACTATTCATCACAGAGTTAAAGCAAGGTGTCGATTGCTATCTCCCACAAAGGATAATAAAAGTTCACCAAACAGATCGCCCATGGATGACAAATAAACTCAAGATATGGATCAGAAAACGCGAAACCGCATTCCAACGACATGGTAAAAACTCGTCCATATATAAACACTGGAGGAATAAAATTCAAAGGGAAATTAAAGCGCCCAAGTCACATTATTAGAAACATAAAGTTGCAGAACTGGGACAGACTAACCCCCGGAAATGGTGGAAACAAATAAAAAGTCTTATAGGACAAGACATTCAACAGGAGTGGCATTATCAATTAATTTCTTGGTGACAATGGGAATGTTAAGATACTCGCAGATAGAGTCAATGACTTCTTCTTGAACATAACTGAGAACTTTTCACCGTTATCGCCTCCTTCTCCAACTCAGCATGTCCCAAACGAGTTCCTTGTTTCTGAAGCAGAGGTTTATCGATCATTGTCATCTCTACAAGTAGCCAAATCTATTGGACCGGACGAACTCCCAAATAAAGTATTAAAGGAATTTGCTACGGAGCTTTCTCCAATTATTCAGGATATTTACAATGAGTCCATAAAGGAAGCATATATCCCAGATTTACTTAAATCCTCAATTATATCTCCCATACAGAAAGTAACTCCACCACAATCAATTGAGAGCGACTTACGTCCAATATCCCTAACATGCAATTTGGCTAAAATTATGGAGGAATTTTTCTGTAGGAGATTTCTATCACAGCTGACACGAAAAATTGACCCCCGTCAGTTTGCTCGTAAGGGTCACTCCACTACGGATGCACTACTATTTTTGCTTCAACCCGTCTACGAGGCCCTCGATAGCGGAAATGCTTGTGCTCGTTTCTTTTTTGCCAACATTAGCAAAGGGTTCGACCGTATTGACCACCATATTCAGATGCAGGAGCTGATGGAATTGGATATTCATCCTGTCTTATATAATTGGATTAACGCTTTTCTTTTTAATAGAAAACAGGCTGTCAGAATAGGGGGACTTTGTCAGACTGGAATCCCCAAATGGTGGTATACCTCAGGGAACTAAACTTGGTGTTATTCTTTTCTCGGTTATGACAAATAAGCTAATATCAGACTGGCATTTAAGGACAAAGTTTGTCGATGACACAGCTGCGCTAGAGATTATTCCCAGGAATTCAATTAGTTATCTGAACCATACGGTAGATGAATTACATCAATTCTCTGTAAATCATTACATGAGTCTCAACCCACTTAAATGCAAGGAGATGGTAATTAATTTTATGAATAATAACAACTCCATAATGAAGCCTTTTGTAATAGGCAGCAACGTAGTAGAAAGGGTAACTAATTATAAATTACTTGGAGTTCAAATGAGTGAGGATCTCAAGTGGAATAAACATGTTGATTATATCTACAAAAAGCTTGTAAGAAGTTATATTCCCTCCACGTACTTCGTAGAGCTGGCGTTGAGCAAAGGTATATACTAAAAGTGTATCTAACTACTATCAGACCCGTATTGGAATATGCTGTTCCAACATGGCAAGCGATCTCTGACTATTTAAGTGAAAGAATAGAATCAATACGGACAAGGGTACTTCGAATCATCTTCCCTTTCATAGACAATTATAATGAGGCGATGATGATGGCACAGATACCAATACTGGAGAGCAGACGTGAACTGTTATGTAAAAAATATATGACTAAAATGAAGAAGGAGGATCATCTCCTGCATTTTATGCTCCCAAAACATAAGATGAGCGAATGCAGGTATAGCCTACGAAATGGGCAAGACAATACTATTTTATTTAAGAACACAACTAAATGCAGAAGTTTAAGATCTGAACAATTTTTTACTTTTAAATATTTTTAATGTTTATACATAGTTTTAACAGCTGTATGTATTTATGTAAATATAGTTTTAGTAATACTTTGGACTCGTTAATTCTGTGTAAATATACTGCAAGAGAGTTTCAATAAACATCAAATAAATCAAATAAATTGAGACTGATGGTAGCTGGTTAGAGGAGGTAGAATTTGATGTCAACGAAGTCCTGGGAGAGTTGCTGAATATTTGTTAAAGTCTGAGAGCCCACCGCCAAACGAACAGTCTAGTATTGCACCGCCAACTGCTTAGGATAATGATGAAAATACCGAAACTGTGAACGATTCAATGTATGGGAAAAGAACTGGTCTGAAAGGTGCTGAAATCGCATCATTCGATGGAAAACCAGTTAAGTGGCCGTACTTTTGTGGAATATTTAGTTCTCTTGTCAATAAAAATGACAAACCGATGCCAGCAGTCAAACTAGCTCATCTGAATAGCTGTTTAACGGACAGAGTACGTGCAGTTATTGCATGCCTGACCGGGGAGCCTGGGGACTATGACAGGGCGGTAAAACAACTCACTGAGAGGCATGGGGACCCCCGAGAAATTATAGATGCCCATTTGCGCAGAATAAGTTCTTGGCCCCACATTAAGGATAAGGATCGTGAAGAATTTCAACGCTTTGGAGATGCATTGCAAGCAGCTGTGTTTGCACTAGACAAACCTGACAATAGGCATGAATTAGCTAGTATACCTCTTTGTACCTTGTTGGTTCAAAAACTCCCACCTAAATGAATGGGTAAAACAGGTTGAGGGTGAAGATTACTCGGAAGACTTGAAGTGTTTAGCCAAGTGGGCTCAAGTTAGAGCTAAAACCATGTGTAAACGTGAGCGATACAATATTGAGCCGCCAAATAAGGGCAAAGAGTCAACTAGTTATTCAGCCACCATGTCGCATGCGACGTAGGGTCCATGCTCTACGCACATTTGGATTTGATCCAGAAGACCAAAGTTTAAAAAATTGTCCATTGTGTGATAGAAAACACAGTGAAGTCTCATGCCCTTTATTTTTTGATAGTTCTGTTGAGAAACGTTGGGAAATTGTAAAAAATAAAAGGGTATGTTTTGGTTGTTTGAAACCTGGCCACCAACGGCCCCTATGCACAAGTCCTCCAAATGTGGGGTGGACTCCTGTGACAGAAGCCATCATTATTTATTGCATAGTTCTAAGCCCAAGCATGAGAAACCACCTGATGACCCACCTAAGACTCCTGAGGAAAACAAAGCAATGCATTGTGGGAAAGCACAAATCAGCACACCCATAAGTGAGAGGGTTGCCCTGAAAACTGTATCTGTCCCATTTATAGATGATTCTGGAGGGTAGCCAATAGTTAGGTACTTTTAGACTCGGGAAGTGGGACACACTTGCAAGAGCAGGGTTAGCAAATCAGTTAGGCATAAAGTGGCCTAAGCAAAGTCTTACTGTGGACGCAGTAGGGTGGTGGGGGGTACGCACCGTGGTGAAATCACAACGTGTACATTTACCATTTGCACCACACATTACAGAGGCAAAAATAACAGGGTAAGGGCACTGTTGATGTCCTGTTAGGGTTAGACGCAGCTGCATTAAGGTGGTAATATCCCTTTATTAAGTCATTTTACAAAATTTCTTCAAAATTTTGGTTTAGTGTGTTTTATATATTTAAATATTGTACTTTCAGAATTTATAGTTATTTTTATGAAATTTTTATTTTTTGAAGGCGAAAAATGCTTTTAAAGTGGTCATGATCCATAATTTTCTCCCTAGCAACACCTTAGAAACGAGTTTTTATCCAAAATTTACATGAATTATTAAAAAAACCGAGTCTTTTGTAGTTTCTACTTTTGATGTATGCTTTTTAAGGTCCTTTTGTTAGCTGCAATTTGATTGGTTCATTTTGCATGTACATGGCAACCCCTTTTTTCATAGCAACTTTGCGGTCATTCGCAAAGCTCTGGCTGTAAACATAGCGTCGAAAATCTTTGTTATTTCTGATTATTTAGTGGAAAATTACTGTTCTTTGTTGAATATTAGTATCGTTTTGTTATTTTGTTTGTGACTATCGATAAAAATATTGGAAATGATCGAAATAGAAAGAGGAAAAAGGCTAGAAATTCACCGTCAAAGAAGGCCACGAATTCAAGATGGCGGCGAACCATGTTGATCAAAACCCTGGGCCATCTAAGGTGAAAATAGACGATGTAAGTGTAACGTTTGGCTAAAATCCTGGTCGTACTGACTATGTTAAAGCAGGTACTATATTTATGGACTTGTTAGTTCTGTTTGGTGTTTTTAATCAAGTCCTGAAATCATTGCCTTGAGTGTGGGAACAACATGACTTCCCATGTTGACATGAAAAAGAAGAATAGCTTCTCCCATTACCTTGTCATGCAATGTTATAACATGGAGTGTGAATGGAAATACTGCTTCCATACTTCACAAAAACAAGGGGCCATCATATGAAGTTAATATGAGAGCAGTCCTTGGCCTCCTGGCATTCAGAGAAATTGGTCGAGGCCATAATACTATGGTAACATTCACAAAAATCATGAATATGCCATCACGGCATCCCCACAATCCAGCCGGAACTTTACAAAAATGCTAAACAAGCTGCTGCCTGTTGTGAAACAGTTGGCAAATGACAGCATGCTAAACAATGCCATGATTGTTAAAGAGACTTGTGGAAATGACAAAGGCGAATGTGGAATTTCCTTTGATGGAACTTGGCAAAGACAAGACCATGTGTCGCACAATGGTGTTGTTTCTGCCATCATTAGATACCAATGAATGCCTGAATGAACATGAAATACTGACAGATAAATGTCAGAAATGGCAAAAGAAAGAAAACAACCCAAAATATCAAGAGTGGAAAGCTAGTCGCCACTCTAAGTTCAACCATGCTGGACATGACAATAGTATATGATAAATCACGAATTACATTCTCACCAAAAGAAAGCAGAGAAACAATTAAAAGTAGATGAAAAACAATAGGGCATCTGAGAAAAAAGTATATAGATGAGGCTGAAGAGAAAGTAGAGTTGTGTATGAAGTAGGGTGATTCTGAAGCTTTAGAAGGTACATTAATTAACTGTAAATGAAACTTTTAAAGTGCATTTTCTCTTTTTGGCAATTTGACGTGTGTCAGCAATACTTGGAACCCTGTAATTTTCTAGGTTTTTATTATAGAAGCTTGATACTTTGCACATCTATAGTCTGTACCATTGTCCATTATGTGACACTCTTCACATTTCAACATTGTTCATTATTGATGAATTATTAATAACAAATGACATCATAAATAAATCAATTAAAAGTACCAATAATGCAAAATTCCATTTTTGGCTCTAAATTTTTTTATTAATGAATTCTGGAAAAAAATGAAGAGTGTCACATAATAGATGAGGTCCTAAGCTTTTAAAAATATATCATTCATTAAATTTTAGTAATTGGTTAATGAGATATGAAGTTTGCGACGCTAGGCAATTATGGCCTAATTAAGATCCGCCATATTGGATAATTAGTGTAATTAGTGACTTTGTTAATTTTTTTTTCATAGTTTATTTTACTTCACCTAACCCTTTCAGAAAATGATATTTTCACTTTATTATCTTTAAAAATAAAAAAACCCGGTTTAATGGCACCCGTGCAAGTTAGACGCGGGGGCATTTGGAGCCATGTGCAGAGTTGACACCCTTAGGTTGGGTAATTGCCGGCCCAGTCCCCGTCTCCAATGGTCAGGAGAAGCGTGTCTTGTGTGTCCACGTGTCGGAGGGCGAAGGCGAAGCTAATCGAGAGTTGCGAAAGTTCTGGGATGTGGACAGTTTCGGTGTTCGGGCAGAGATTACGTCACCTTACACGCCTAGTGAGCAAAAAGCCTTGGACATTCTTGATCAATCATGCAAGCAGCAGGAGTTTTGTTATCTACTCGGACTTCTTTGGTAAACGAACAGATCTAGTTTACCTAATAATTATGGCACTGCCCTGAAACGCCTAGATTCGGTTGAACATCGCCTATTGAAAGATCCGGAGTTGGCTGACGGATATTTAAAAGCGATAAATGCATACGTTGAAAGGGTTTTGCACGCAAGTTATCGGAAGAAGAGCGCGTAAAACATGGTGAACTATGGTTCCTACCCCTTCACCCTGTTCTCTCCCCACAAAGACCCCTACCGAGAGTAGTATTTGATTCCGCAGCTAAACATGGTGATATCTGCGTTTAACCATTGTCTTGAGGCTGGACCCAGTCTCCACAACGATTTACCTGGCATACTGATGAGATTCCGTGAGAAACCTGTTGCGCTTACTGGTGATGTGTCGGATATGTTCTGTTATGTGCGATTAGAACCGGAGGACTGTAAATACCATCGTTATTTATTGCGCGGATTGGATATGTCGAGACCACCCGATGAGTACGAGATGAACTGTCTGGTGTTTGGAGATCTTCACACTGGGTGGCAAACTATGCTGTGACTCGCACCACCAAAGAATGGCCCGTCGCAGCCGCAGTGGTCAAGCGTAATATATTTGTTGATGATTTATATACGTCCTATTATGATGATGATGATGAAGCAATAACATTGCGGAAGGATGTGACAAATTTGATGGCGAAGGGTGGGTTCCCGATGCGCATGTGGCTCTCGTCGTTACGAAAGGACCTGGAAACAATACCCGAGGAAGAAAGGGCTGCCCCAAACAAGAACGTGAATAGTGGATAACTTCCGTCAGGGCGTGCGTTGGGGGTGAAATGAGATGCAAAGTCCGACTATCTAGGCTTTGCATAGCACACATTGATCGTCCGAAGGCGCAAAATACAAAGCGATGGATTCTAAAATGATTGGCTGCATTATACGACCCGTTGGGTTGGGCTAGTCGGCATGTTGTCCGTGCCAAGATTCTTCTGCAGCGCACCTAGTCTCGTGACCTCCAGTGGGATGAACAACTTCCACCAGAAGAGGTAGGGGGAGATGATTTGGCTCAAAGTTTTCTCGGTCCCTCGCAATATCTACCGTGAGCATTCGAAAGTCTGGTCAATGTTTCTCATAGATAGTCTTTTGTGATGCTTCAGAAATAACCTACGCTGCTGCTGCCTTTATACGTGCAAGGTCAACCGATGGGGATTACGTGTGCCATTTGATTATGTCGAAGACTCGTTTAATGCCGCTTAAGGCAGTCTCTATTCCGTGCGGAGAGTTAATGGCTTGTCAACTTTCTGTCCGACTGGCGAAGTCTGTTCGTAAGCAACTGGGACTTAACAATTGTCGTGTCAAGTATGTGTCTGATTCCACGACTGCGTTATGGTGGATCAAGAGTGAGCCAAGGAAATTTCGTCCATTCGTTGCCAATCGAGTGGCAGAGATCCTGTCGGAGAGTGATCTAACTCAGTGGCATCATATTGGGACGAAGCTGAATATTGCGGATATTGCGAGCAGAGGAACATCTGTAGCTGATATTTCCGCTGATTCAACCTGGATTCAGGGACCAGATTTAAGTCTGAGTTCTCTAAGTGGCCTGTTGACAAAGCTGCTGTTGATTTTCTAGAGCCAAGTCAAGCGGAGTTGAAGAAATCGGTTTTGAAGGCAAAGGTCGAACTAGCAAAGCTAGTTATCGATCTTGCCGCGTATTCTAGCTGGATCAAACTCACCCGAATAACCGCATGGATATTTCGCATGTGTAACAATCTGTGCAACAAAGGGAAACGAATATCGGGACCGTTGACCGTGGACGAACGATAATGCTAACTTGTACTGGATCAAATGGGACAGAGCGATCGCTTCCGAGACGAGATCGAAGCGCTGAGGAAAGGCCGTCCGGTTCCACGAGATAGTCGTATTGCAAGTCTCGATCACCAACTCGTGGACGGTGTTTTACGGGTAGGGGGCAGAATCGAAATAGCCTGTGTACAGCCATTACTCTCGACGAAACGCGCGAGAGAACGTCTGTGATTTGGATGCATAATCCTTGTTCAGATCACGTGGATAGTTCCCACATTTGGGGACCGGCCTCTGATTGGACAGTGCTTTATTTGAATAATTTGTGACAAATGAAGCTATTTCATTGGTTAATTGACAATTAGCATACGAATAAAATAACAACATAAACATTTTAAATTCAGATATTTACAAATCAAGAATCAAGATTTCCTTCGGGGCATACAAAGGTTTGAAAGACTTGAAATACAATCTTTTGAGTTTAATTTTGTGCTGTATCGAAGATTAAGAAAATCAAGATAAAATTCTAGTGTTTGGACACTCAGCGAACAATGCTGACAAATATATAAAATACAACAAACTATCGGACGGAAATTGACAATTTATAATTGACAATTTAATATAAAATTGACTATCTGTTTATATGTCCCGACCCCTCGCGATATAGCACTTTCTTTAGATGCAATGTGCTTAACTTCGTCTCACTTGACCAGTTAACTTTTAATTACTTTAAAATGTATCCTTTTAAATAATCAGTTGTGTTTATATTTAATACTGTCTTTGTAAACAAATATACGCCATATATATGTGCACGCCAAGAACTGAACTTGTACACCGGACTTGCCGGATCATCGTTCAGCATTGTCCGCATTCAAAACAAATCTCTTCATCGAGAAATATATGCAATTATATATCGTTTTTCAGATTGTATTTCAAGTCTTTCAAACCTTTGTATGCTCCGAAGGAAATCTTGATTCTTGATCTGAAAATATCTGAATTTAAAATTTTTATGTTGCTATTTTATTCGCATGCTAATTATCAATTAACCAATGAAATAGCTTCATTTATCACAAATTATTCAAATAAAGCACTGTCCAATCAGAGGCCGGTCCCCAAATCTGGAAACTATCCGCGTGACCTGAACAAGGATTATGCATCCAACTCACAGACGTTCTCTCGCGCGTTTCGTCGAGAGTAACGGCTGCACACAGGCTAAATCGAAAAGGTGGAATTTCCGTGGGAGTCGAAGCACCCAGTTATATTGAACCACGGACATGATGTCACGAGGTTGATCGTGATCCACTACCACCGAAAACTTATCCACACGGGAGTCGAGCATGTCCTTAATCACGTACGTGAGAAATAGTCGATTTTACACGGTCGAGCCGAAGTTAAGAACTGTCCATTCAAGTGCACACTATGTTTTCGCCGTCGTATTAAACCCATGACGCAGAAAATGGCTAATTTACCGAATGTACGGCTCGCAGGCGCAAGTGTTCCTTTTCGACACGTTGGGATTGATTATGCCGAACCGTTTGAGACTCGAATTTGACGCAATCAAATGGAAAAACGCTATATTTGCTTATTTACATGTCTCCATATGCGCGCGGTTCATCTCGAAGTCGCAGATAGTTTGGACACTGACTCGTGTATAATGGCGTTGCGACGATATCAAGCTCGTAGAGGAGTCCCTGTTTGTCTAATGAGTGATAATGGGACAAATTTTGTAGGTGCCGAAAGAGAGTTGCGCGAGGCATTGGAAGATCTGGATCAAGAGAAAATCTCGAATGAGTTAACAGCACGTGGAGTACGTTGGATCTTTAACCCGCCTGCTGCCCCATGGTTTGGAGGTGCCTGGGAAGCGTTATTAAAGTCTGTCAAACGGGCATTGAGAGTTACGCTTGGGAATGTTCTCACGGTCGATGAAGTTTAATTTCCTTACTGTCATTGCCCAGGTAGAAGCGATGCTGAACTCGCGTCCGCTTGTCAATGGTGGAAGCAGTGATTCACCAACAGATCTCATCGTGATTACACCAAACCACTTCTTGCATAGTCGTGCAAGTTCGAACGTGTCACCCGGTGAGTTTAACCAATGAGATATGTCGTTACGTCGGAGATGGCATCATAGCCAGTTCTTAGCGAACCAATTCTGGCGCCGATGGTCGAATGAGTACATTCTGCAGTTAATAAAGCGAAGCAAATGAAATGTTGCACACAGAAATCTACGTCGCGGTGATCTTGTCTTGATCGTTGAGAAGGATGTACCTCGCTCGCATTGGAGGCTCGGAAGAGTGATTCCACCGATCGCAAGTGAAGACGGACTGATCAGATCCGCAGAGATTGCAACGAAATCGGGAACATTGACACGCCCTGTAGGACGTTTAGCATTATTGGAAGTTTTTAATGATGAGTAACGTTCCCCTTGTTCACGTCACGGGCGGGGGTGTTTTGGACTTTGGACAGTTTATTCATATAGTTAATTTTAATTTATTTAAATTCATTATGTTAATTGTGGACATAACCGCGAACGGACTGGGAGAGAGACTTTGTCCAGTAACGTTAAAAATAGAGAGGTCAGATTACAGAACGATCAGATAACGTTTGAGAAAAGGGGGCTTTTCTGTAAAATGTTGAGTTTTGTGGCGATAAATATATGAAAACCTCACGGTTAACGAAAATTACACGCCGTCTTCTTTATGTATATATGTATATATATACATAATCCCTGAATAATCAT